CTACCCCTAAGAATGTCCGTCCGGTCATCATATAGCCTAGGAATCGGAAACGCGCTTTGACGTCCAAACAACAATGTCCTCAACCTGAACTCACTCGAAAACCTGGGAAGACAATCACGGTTCGCGATGATTCTCTCACAGTCATGAACCCTAAAGACAGCCCTTATCTTCCCCCAGATTGCGGGAGTAACATCAAGGGATTCTATGGGGAGAGTTAAATAAGAAGCTTGAACTTCTCAGAATATAGTCTTTGGCGGTCACACGGCTTACTCGGGGAAGGGACTCTAAGCAATCAAATCATCCGAGGTTACTTTGTGTAACACTCAAGAATGCTACCGACGTAGAGGATATCCTGCTAGTTAGTCACTTACTGAAATCTGATGGGAACGTAAGAATACTGCCTGAAATACGATATTCTGAGCGCAATCTCATCCGAACACATTCCTAAGGAATCTCGCGCGAAGTTTTTCTTAAAGTCGTTTTCGCAGAACATGCATATATCGAGGGTGAAAACTCAACTGAAGCTCGGCTCTTCAACCTCAATGAGGATCAGGAATTATTCGGAAATGTGAAACTGGCAACTCTTTGAAGAAACAGTCGGACTCCGTCGCACTTAGACTGGGTATTTACGAAGGAAGAATTCCCAGCTGACAACCTCCCAATTCTGACTCCCTTATGGAGAACCGATCACGCCGTCAGAGTCTTCAGTTTTATCAGCAACACTGAGCTAAGACATCTCGCTAACAACAGGCGCTAGGATTTAAAACGGTTGAATGTGTCAGCTTCACAGGACTATCTACAACAAATGGATTGCGAAATTCACCCTCAACTTGATGTGGACGCTCATTTGGGTATTCTTGCTGCACATTCTCTTATGTGCTACAAGGCAATCTGTTCCTCAAATAGTCCCCAATATCTACAAACAACCTACAACCATCAAGAACCGCACTCTTCGTTTGCTAAGCCACAAAATTCACTGTTGGACAGAACACAGGCAAACTAATGACAACGACGCGTACAGGCAATACAAACATGTCAGGAACATATACACAAAGGCAATAAGAGGAGACAGGCTCAGTACTAGATAAAGCTTATTGATAAATTTGTCTCCGATCCGAAAGGCTTATACCGTTATGCAGCCTCCCTTCGACAAGCCGAAACTGAAGTTTCACAACTTCTAGGTCCTAATGGCCCGACCAATAACGACGGTGATGCCGCTAAACTTCTGACTGAGCAATACTCTCGGACAGTTCAACCGATCCACACTAACTATATTGATGAAAGCTTTATCTACAACTGCACAGGACTTTCCGAAGTGAACCTGGGCGCTGACTTAACGTTCCGGAAACTGCAGCAACTAAGAAAAGACACTTCTCCTAGCTCAAATACGGTTTTCTGTGCTATATTGAACGAAGCAGATTCAATCCTGGCAACATCGCCTAGCGTGATGTTCCCATAATCACTATGCCGAAACAAACTACTGGAAATTTGGAAGATGGCTCACCTCACATCAGTTTACAAAGGAGGTCGACGCGGCGAAACTTGAGGCTGCAGACCGGTGGAAATTCTCTTTATACCTTTAAAAATTATGTAGTCCCCGATATGCCACGGCACACAGGACTATTTATTATCCTTAAATTTCTTTTCACCAGGACAGCATAGTTTCAGAAAGGGTCATTTTTGTTTGGCCAACTTGCTGACCGCGGTGGGCAGACGGACAATCATTCCTGACCACAAAAGGAAGGTTGATGTCATTTAGCTCATCAAAAGCTTTTGATAGGGTCAACCATATATGTCTTATCAATAAGCTCAAACGATTGGGTATCAAATCATCTCTAATTGACTGGCTCACTTCGTATCTAAAAAGTCGACATTCTGAGGTCAGGGTTAACCCCACTTTTTCTCAGGCTATGGAGTGTCCTGGTGGGGTCCCCCAGTATTTAATACCAGGATATCTTATTTTCTTAATTTTTATAGACGACCTTCCACAACAGGTATCCTCAGACTTATTACTTTTTGCTGATGATGTGAGACTTTGGAGAGAGATACGCAACCGTGAGGATATACTAACACTTCAGGACGATCTGACCCGACTTCAAATTCGGGCAGACGACAACGGACTTACCTTTAACACTTCAACATGTAAAGTAGTCCATCTGAGACATTTTGCAGACTACAGTTTCAACTTAAGAAACTCCTCTCTAGTAGCATTCCGAGTCGAAAAAGATTTAGGAGTTCTGTTACCCTACGATTTCAAGTCTTACGCTAACTGTGACAAAAATGCCTTTCGAGCAAACCTTGCACTGGTAACATTGAGGCGCATTTTGGGCCAGTTTGACGGAAGAACTTTCCACATAATCTTCAACAGTTTCATTCGTTCCCATTTAGAATACGGAAACATAGTATTTCCTCCCTCACTACAAAAGGAGAAGGACACTTTGGAGAGTATCCAACGGCGAGCCATGAAATCAGTTCGGGGACTCGAATCCAAGCCTTATGAAGAGCGTCTCCAGTCACTAAACCTTTACCCATTACAGTATAGGCGTCTTAGAGGTGACCTTCTAATGAATGGCCTACAGTATCCTTAACACTTCTGGACATTCCCTTAAACACCCAATTAAGTTTACCTGCGACAAAAACATAAGGGGTAACACCCAGGAACTAGAGACACGACACAGCAGAACGGACTGTAGCCACAAATTCTGCTTACCAAGAGTTGTGAAACGATGGAATTCGCTGTCGACTGAGCTAGTCCAAGCGACTTTTCAGGAGTCCTTTAAGAGGCAACATGACCTATTCTTAAGGACTAAGGATAATATCTTACTATGATTTACCAATTACGTTTTCCTCTATTATCGTTAATATACCTAGGTTCGTGCCTGGAGGTGTTGGTGATCCACTGCTACTAAACACGGAATTGCGCTAAGCGAAAGCTTTTTCTATTCCATCTACAACCATGTGAACCATTTATAAGCCATTTGTGGTTGCCATTACAATGTCGGAATAATTTTGCTAAACATCACAGGAAATTTCCTATGTCAACACATTTGAACATATGTATAGGAGAATTTTTCTCTTTGCTGATGAAATGATATATTATGTTCAAGGGATCTATTAAAAAATATATACAGTAAGCGGCATGTTCAGATGCCTATAAATTAACTTTCCCAAAAAACACGACTTAAAGGCGGGGAGTCAAGACTTCTCTCAAGTAACTGATGTCAGGGGGAAAAATAAACTTTTTCACTTCATTCACTCCGTCGACCTCTTTATTTCTCATTTGTTCACCTTAATTTTTCCTTTATATAAAGGAAAAATCAAGTGAACAACCAATATTGGTTGTTTGGTATAATTAATTAGGGATTTCCTTAAGGAAAGTTGGTGAAAATAGATGACAACGTATCAAATAGTCGCAATATTCCCCAGTTCGGTATAAATTGTGCGAATTTTTCCCATCTAAGGGGAATGTCTTGAAATTAACAGTCGTTTCTCAAGAAGTATTGAAGAGGACTTTCCGACATGTCAGTTTATTCAAATCTTAGCCCTAACGACCATAAAAAAGTCTCCACTCGACGTAAGCAGAGTGCATAGACTTTTCATATTCACGAACAATGCTGTTTTTAGACAGACGTTTTCTATGTTTTCTCTAAACTGTATGCAGTGGTATTTTCGTGAATATATGACGAATAAATCAATGAAATTAGTTTACCGATCACTGATAATGAAGTGAATCACACGACTGATAATAATAAATAGGTTCACTTGCTAGTAGTATGACGGATGTCCTAGCAGTGATAAAAAATAATATTCGAATATTCTCTAAATTAACATTTGAGTACCTAAAGCTTGTGGCTTATCTAAGGGCACGCTATTGTTGAACTAAGAAGTTATAAGCATTGACAAGCCACATGAAACCTCTTTTAGACAGTGTTTACCACTACAATTAATTGGCAAACTATGCTCACAAACTTCATGAAAAAACCGAGAGAACGGCAAATGGATTGAATCTCAATTTCTTTAAATATCTAAAACGTGCAGCCCAAAAGGAGTCAATAAAATCAAAGAATGCCAGTTACGAGTTAATACTATGCTGGAGTTTCAGGGAATGAAGCAGGGTAAATGCATACGAAAGACTAATCGATTTTGGGACATACAACTTCAAATCCTCAACTCAATATTACTACTTCAGTGAGATCAAATAAAAAAGAGAAATATGGGCAGTCCTGATTAACTTCATTTGTGATAGTCAATTCGTTTTCGTCCTCCCAATATCGTAAACAATACACCTGCACGGCACGGCCGAGGGTGGAGGGAGTTAGCTCTCCCCGTCGAAATGCTCTCACATGGCCACGCGTACATAGCCTCTGTCAGGGAAGTCCTACTCACTGCCTTCTCGCGGCGGGGATGTTGTTTACGAAAATGAGAGGACGAAAAGCGAATGTCCGGCGCTTGAGCCGGGCCGGTGGACACGGCGAGTCCATCTAGGGGATTTGGAAAACCCTGATTCCAAACCAATGGTGCATATGGGCTCCAGTATCCTGAAGGAACAAATGGCGTATGAACCAATCGTTGGTCACCGGCTACCATGGGACTGCATCTCCTTACGTTGCTCCACTGCCTTGTGGATCAGACTTTCAGGTCGAAGGCTCCGGGGGTGGCTCCCTAATAAAACCACCTGCTTTGGTTTGGGCACCCGGGCAGTATCACAGCCCTCACACATATCAAATAAGATTTGTGTGGCGCATATGTATTTGATGCCTCCTTGTACCAATATCTATGTTAAAATAAATAAATAAATTAGATCCATATCAGTAATAAGTATCACCAGCCACACAACTTACAACTTTCTACCGACCGCATTTGACAGACAGATACAGGTAACTTTCTCCATGTAAATTATGATTTTCTTCAGGTCTTTGTTTGTAATAAGTATCATTTTTACATTTCAGTCGAGCTAGTATTCAATTTGTGCGTACTATGATTGCCAAACCTGGTTATCTATGATCACAGGACTTCACCGAACAAATAGTTTCCAATTCTTGTATAAATTTCGCCGTTTGGTTTCATCTCAAACACATTATGATACGTTAGGAATTAAAAAATCCGCCTCGTATAGTGAAATTCGTTCAGCTTTTATCAAACTATCAAAAAAAGTAAGCTGATAATTACTTTTCTAATCTGTTATCTATACAGTATCATCCTGACAAAAATGACGGTGATATTGAGACGTTTAAAAGGATCAACGAAGCGTACTCTGTTCTCTCTCAAGAGAAAAGTAGACGAATTTACGATTCCTCTTTAGTATCAAGAGCTAAACCATTATTTACTAACTCGCCAAATGAGTATGATGTTTCAGATTGGGAACGTAATTATAATTACCACTTGTAAGTTTATACTAATAGCCTACACTTTGTTTAGTATGTAGGACAATTTTCGGCTGCCAGGATTTCAGCCACCCGGTTACTAGTTTGAACCTTTTTAAGTCTACTTATGTTTGAGTGTTCAGTTATTTTCTCTAGTCCTCACGCAAAGATCGCGTGGATGAAAACCTTTTATTTTCTTTAAAGAGGACATTTTAATAATTAGAAATAATGTTCTTTTTTAGAAGAAAGTATTTTTAGTTTTAAATGGCCGACTCAGTAATACCATTTAATCTGTAAATATTATCTTAAGTCCTTTCCGTAGGTATCAATTGCCCTTCATTCAAGATGTTATTTCGTGATCTAGTTTGTACTTTCCCATCAATGTTAGGCATATGACCAAGTTTTGTAACTGGTCAGTTTAATCGCATATTCAGATTCAAATATCTGACAAATGGAACTGTCGGAGGTGGAAATTGTAGGCGCCACTGATTGATATTCATATACATTCATGTTGTGTTATCAACGTTATGGTCTTTTTTCCGAACCACATACATTTATTAACAGGTAACAACTTTGAATATATGAAAGGTTTGAGTACAAAAAATTAATATAATTATTATCAGTAAGGGGAGTTGTGGAGCTTGTAATGTTTTTAGCAGTTGAATTTATGTGTCGATCTAAGCTAGACTACCATTGAAAACCTGAAAGCACTGGACGGTCGTTTCAACCTAGTATGGGACTCCATGGCGGTGCTCATTCATGATCCCACACGTGGGGCTCGAACCCAGGACCTTCGGTCTCCTGCTCAGTCTTAACCCCTAAACCACTGAACCGGCATCCAATCCGTGTCGGGTGTGAGACAGTTGTCCGCCCCAGACAATGGATGAAGGTTTGCGCAAGATCATGGATAGAATGAAGTTATACATTGACGTCACTGAATGCCGGCTCAGTAATCCAAAGGTTAAGCGTTTGCGCGAGAGACAGAAGGTCTTGGGCTCGACTCACGCGTGTGGGAGCGTGGATATGCACCACTGAGGAGTCCCATACTATATTGAAACGGCCATCTAGTGCTTCCAGGTTTCCAATAGTGGTCTAGCTTGGATCGACTCGAATATTTGGGATGCACTTGTTCTATCTAAATGCAAGTTGTTGCTTCAGGACTGGTTGCAATCACTGGTTTTTCCAACATTTAAGAAGGGGTAAAAATCCTCCTGTGATAGCCAAAGAGGGATTAGTTTAACTAATATAGTATCGGAAATACTAGCCTCGATAATTATCGAACGCGTAACTAAGACTCATGAACTGCAAACACGAGAGAATCAAGCTGGCTTCAGACCTGGTCGTGGCTGCACCCCACACATATTTACCATTCGTCAGATTTTAGAACACAGACATACTTATCGGTGTCCAACAACGGTGGTCTTTCTCGACTTAAAAGCAGCACTTAACTGTAGATCGAGAGGTATTGTGGCAGTGTCTGTCATTGTAAAGTTTACCGCGGAACAACGTAGACCGTGTGAGGGCTCTTTACTCGAATACTACTAGTCGAGTCAGCTTATGGCGAACTATCATCTGATTTTGTAACCTTAATTGGTGTCTAACAAGGCTGTCCATTATCTCCATTTTTGTTCAATTTAATAATAGACCTACTACTGGAAGTAACGTTCTCGTCGACTGGGTTTTCAGGAATCGATCTTCCAGGAAGTCCACTTATCGACTTCGAATACGCAGATGACATAGTCCTGTTTGGTGAAGACGCTGACAAAATGCAGAGTCTTCTGGTAGCACTGAGCAACAATGCCAGAATGTTTGGAATGCGCTTCTCTCCCTCTAGATGCAAGTTTTTGCTTGAGGACTGATCTGCGTCAACACCTGAACTAAGGATAGGGAGTGAAGTAGTAGAACGCGTTGACAACTTCACTTATCTTGGAAGTCTGATCAGCCCTAATGGGTTGGTGTCTGACGAAATCTCAGCACAGATTCGAAAAGCTCGATTGGTTTTTGCCAACTTACGTCACCTATGACGCAGGTGAGATATCCGTCTATCAATAAAAGGACGAGTATACTGCGCGACAGTCCGTTCTGTTTTAATTTACGGCAGCGAAACATGGCCATTAAGAGTAGAAGACACTCGTAAGCTATTAGTATTTGACCACAGATGCCTTAGAAATATTGCTGGCGTCTGCTGGGATCACCGGGTAAGTAATAGTGAGGTTAGACGCAGGGTGTTAGGGAATGATGGTAAATCGGTTGATGAGATTGTGAATATTCATCTACTGAGACGCATGCGCCACGTGCTACGTATGCCTGAACACCGATTACCACGACGTGCAATGCTAACCGGTGTTCGGGATGGTTGGAAAAAAGTTAGGGGTGGTCAAACCATGTTGGTAGATGCAGACTACTTGATTTGGGTCCGCGCGACTTTTGTAAGCAGTAGTTGGAGACTGTGTAACATGACCCAGAGTCAATCACAATGGCATCGATGTATACACACTGTCTTCCCCTAAACGGTGAGAATAAAATTGCTTTATACCTTTCTCTCTTCCTGTATTATATCCTTATACATAATCTTTATTTTATATATTACTACCATTGAAGTAACTACTTCTATGAATTCGGTGTTTATCTTGTTGTGTTAATGCGGTATGGCAACTTGGGTCGATGAATATATGTGCCTGGTCCTACGTTATAGCTGACTGACCGACTCGTAAATTCAACTGTTATAAATATTGTTTTTATTGTTTACGTGGACAATGTTGATGTCATCTTTGTAATTATTCATCAGAATAAAGATCTAATATAACTCAAATGTAAATGAACTCTATTCCATTATCTGCAGCTTTCATGTTTAGTTATTATGATAGTTCCCATCGTCTTAAACTGAATCCTGCCTAAGGTCTAAGTTTATCCCAATGATTTTATAAGTAATCTGTTAGCAACAACTAATGTTAGTATTTTCTGTAAGCGTATCCCATAGCATATTAAGTTCAAGCAGCAAGTAATGAATAAGTTCAGTGTATTTGTAGTTTCCTTTTGAACTCAGAGTTATGTATATTTAATCATCAGTTACATCTAGACATCTCACAGTAATAAATATTTAAGTGACATCCTATAATTTATTCTCTATCCATCCTTCTCTAATTTTTAATTTATAGACGTTCTCTGCGTTTTGGGGAAAATAAACGCAACACTAAAGGAAACCCTAATATATCACGATCGATTTTCATTTCAACAATACTATTAGCAGCATTCATCTACTTTATTTCCATATATAAATTTATTAAAAAGTAAGCTACTACCTTTTTAATTTTAATGATCGTTTTTAAGTTGCTTATATATATATATATATATATATATATATATATATATATACTGGTGTTGGTAACTAGAAGAAACTTGGTTTTGCAACTTTAATATCTGTACGTGTATGCGATGACCGCAAGTCTTAGCCACGATAATGAGTCACAGCTTTTTAAAGTTCTTATCATGTTTATCTTTTATGGTTAAGAAAGCAATACACTTTTTTGTTTAATATAGTGAGAACCTCCTCATTTGAGTAGGATATTTGGTTAATACGCAAAGTAGTTGACTAACCCCATTGTTTCCGTATGAGTTAGGTTAAAAACTAGGTGTGAGGAGAAAACATTTAAGTTAATACACATCAGCTGTGGCTATCGACTCACAGTTTCGATATTATTTTAAGTATTTTTATTAAAGAAACTAAAAGTACGTAAATATAATCTACCTGTGGACCCCTATACAAGGTAACTCTCAAGCCTTCATGATAGGAATACGCTAGTCAGGCACTTTAGGAAGTGGAAATGTATCCTATGTCCATATATCTGGGAATTCGCGGTAATACAGTTCGTTTTTCTTTTCTGTAGCATCTGTCGTCGTGAAATTTATCACAATAAATAATCACCACTGTCAGAAGAATAGTCAGTCAACTGTAATTTCCTTGTGGTTTTCGAATTTTCGACAGTAATTTCATTTCACGATACAGCCTGTAAATTTTAGAAGTTGTTATAACTAATCTGAATAATGCTAACTGAACTGTAAAAAATATTTGTGAAACTTGAGGTAGTCCCGAACGTTATTAAGACTCTGGTCGTTAAATGATGTATATACTGTTTCTTGTCTATACAATATTTGAATTTTTCTCCACGATAAATTATATATTTTAGTGGTTACCGTCCAACCCAGACGGCGTAAAATCAAGCGAAAACGTGTCTTGATTCAAATTGCTACACTTCGTATCAGCACAACATGAGAGGAAAAAAATAAAACTAAACGAGTGCAAAGGATAGTAGTTATTAGCTAGTTCTTGAATATATCATTTGAAAGGAGAGAACGAAACCGTAACTCGAATTATAGGTTAACAGATCTACACCAATACGACATATTTTGATCTTTCATCTGATCTCTATAATTGTAAACTATGTTTATCTTATGAGCACCCCTGAGATTCCAAGTATCTTTACACGGCTTGATAAATAATTGGTAATCCCATGGCCTGATGCACTTTTATCTGACCATCTTTATCCCTGTTTTAGCCTACTATCTATGCTGGCTAGCGTAGTTGCTCAGGGTGATCGCTTTATGGGCTTAGGCTATATATATTTGTTTCAGCTGATGCTGTTATTGAAATACACATCCTAGATACCGTTGTACATAATTATCGACCTCATGTTAGAAAATAATCGAGAATGAATTTTGATTACGTATATTTCGTACACTTGCTGATCCAGACAGGCGATCAGAGAAGCGAAAAGGAGAGAGCGGATAATGTCGTTGGAAAACTGAAAAGAGAAGCGACGTGAAGGCGAGGAAGCCAACTCGTCTTGATAAAAGTCAACGACGTGTGTCCCTATCCTTTCGAGTTCTTACGGAGCCGTTTAGCCGAACAGCACATAGACGACTGTTAACGGGGATCCACTCTAACAGTGTTTGTCCCGTACTCATACTTAGTGCTATCCCTACTCGTGCCAGTCCACGAGAGCTGTCCGTCGGGTCACCAG